CCTGACCAGGAATCGAACCCACAACCTTGGCATATCAGGATGACGCTCCAACCACCCGAGCTACCAGGCCAGGGCTAGGCTGTTTAGAGTTTAACACTTCACATTGCTTCACCCGACATTAAGGCACATTAGAGATTTACCTTATTCTTGGCCCTTGACATGAAAGTGAAAAAAACTGCCCTCATCTCAGAGAATCACATTATTCCATCAGATAGTGGGTGTGAAAAACACTTTTCAGAAGCGTAAAGCCCCGGACAAGTGCAAGATACAGTCATTATCATCAGCAACAGATTATCGCTGTGTCTGCACAGAGTTTATCAATGGCTGTGTTTATATGCCTGTCGCTTCTGAGGAAGCATTGGGACATGTGGTCCAAACACTTCTTTTGTGGCTCATTAAGCTGGATTTGCAGTGCCCTGAAGTTTATTCCGCTTGTGGATTTTGGTGAAGAAACCACAGCCCATTGCACCGGCCAAATCTAGCTCTACACCAGATACAAGTGTGGTTTTTGAAAGGTGTGGCGGGAGAAAGCGCTTGGTTTCTGTCCCAGGCCACTCTCTGGCCAGCTGTGTGACGACAGGAAACAGCAGCCTCGCTGATCTGGATGCCTCCGCCGTGGGGGCGAGAACACTTGCTCGGCTCCCTCAAAGGATGGTGGTGATGTCTTACGGGTTCTGAACACATTCGAAGTTCTCAACGAGTACAGAGTATTATTTACTTTTGATCTGCTCATTGCTTTTGTAGTCCCTGAAACAAGATTTGGTAGGCGATCGATTTGTCTTAATACTTTCTCAGATTAATAAGAATTAAGTCGATCTTCCTGTGGTTAGACCAAAATACACTGAAATAATTCTGTATCCAGGACATCTGGGACCTAGTTGCTAGGATAATATTGCTTCATTGCAAAGCAGCACACTGGGCATATCGAGTAGAAGAGTGGTATGAGAGAAACTGCCTTTGAGGGTTTGGATTTGGACAAAAATAAGTCTTTTGATTTCCACATTGTTCCGATGCCTGTTGGCTCATGTCACCAGATTGGAAGGCCCAGCGGGCCAGGAAGGAGTTTCTCTGGAAGGGGTTGGAGATTTATGCAGACTGGCTGACTCTCTGACATTTATTTGCTGCCCTTTTCTCGCTCTCTTTTGGCAACTCTGACCCAGATGGACAAGCTCATGGAAAACAGGGCCAGTGAAGAGAACATGCTTTTGATTTCTTTAAAGATAAGGGAGCATTTCTCCCTTTTAAGACAGTAGTGGCAATTTTACGTGCATGGATTCAAAACTGGCAACTCACTTTTGGAGACCGGTGGAGACGTTTGAACAAGGGCCTTCCTTGTGACGTCACTGAGAGTAACATAAGCTCTGTTTACCAAGGCTTCCACCAAAGCACGGTCCAGGCCATGGTCCCAATGTTATGTCTACCGGAGGCCAGCCGTCCACTTTGTCGCTGGGCAGCAGGGATGCTATCTGAGCTCTGGCTAAGATGATAATTCACCGGGACTGAAATCCTTTCTTAATCAGCAGCCTCTCCAGCAGCAGGATGAGGGACGGGGAAGCATGGCTTACTGTTTCACTCTGTAATCACTTAGGATCTGAGCTCTGTTTTACCTTCCACTGACCTCTGCTGCCGTGGGTGGACTCTGGCGGCAGCTGCAGTGTTACAAGGGGACAGATTACGACAGTGGCCACTAAGCAGCGATTTCTCTGGGAGAAATAGGTGAGAGATACAGAGAGACGTGTTGTACTGTGTTAGGCTCAAACTAAATTCTTCCTACTGAAAAGAGTTAGCGGAACATCAATAATTTGAACGGAAATATCCGCATCAGAAGGAATCATGCCGTGAGCACTGGGACATTTCGTGTGAAAGTTATATTTCGTCCCTGCATTTTAAAGTCATCCCATTTTCCTTCTGTGTTACTTGTGGCATAAAATTTCAGACTCAAAATACTTTTTATCTCGGGCTTGTTGTTGAACTCGGTCCTCGGAATGCCAGTGTTGAAATATGGGATTGAAAACGGTGAATGGATTTGCTTTAAATTAAGTGCAGCTTTTTTTTTTTTTTTTTTTGGG